CTGTAATGGTAACAGTCACTGCAGCACTGTTCACAAAAGCCAGTAGGTGGACACAACCTAAATGCCCATCACCAGATGAAGGATAAACAAAGCGTGATCCATACATACAGTGGAACACCACTCAGCCCATCGGATAAATGAAGTCTCGATGCGTGCTGCAGTATGGATGGGGCTTGAAGACATTACGCTGAGTGAAATGAGCCGATCACAAAAGGACAAACATTGTATGACCTCACTTACATAAAAAGATAAGAAAAGGCAAATGTATCGAGAAGAAAGTTTATTAGTGGTTACCAGGGGTAAGAGGGAAGACCTGGTGACTGCTTCTGGAGACATTACAGACTAGAACACCTACAGGGCAACCCATGGGATTGCTTTGAGTCAGAGTATACTTGATGCACCTGGCCACAACAACAACTGCAACCTTCACAAAAGCAGATCACCAAGTCCTTTCATCTGCAGGACCCTCAGTGTGTTTGAACTACCAAACTTCAGGCTAGCGGTCCAACTCAGACTACTTGAGCCTCCCAGGCTCCTTTCTATACTTCTAGGGCCACGCTGAAGATTTTCCATCACAAAAGAGTCCAGACTTTCCATTAGGAAATGTCCTAGATGGTGTTTTCCTCCAGAATCAGGCCTATGCTGGTGCAGGGCTCCCGAAGGCTGATTACCCACTTAAAATGGCAGTCCTTTAAAGGCCAGTCTGTCATGTAGAGCCTGCAGGTCATGAAGTCCTACAGCTGAAGGCAGAGTGAGGAGTGTCTTAATGAGTCCCTGTCTCAGGAACAAAGGGGAGGGAGCACAGGACACTGGAATGCCCAGGACCATCCAATATAGGGAACCAGGGACAACGACAGAACTCCAGAGAGTTCCAGAACTTGGCCTTCTCCCATAGCTGTTGGTTCTTTCAAATAAATGTTCAACAAAATGTGCCCTGTATGAATTGTCTCACCCACAGGATGGTAGATTAGGGATGGGGAGGTAAGATTCAATCTCCTCCATCTTGATAGAGCCTGGCTTTGCACAGGACCCCACAGGCATTGAGAGTCTTTCAAAAGCCTATGTGTGTGTCCAGAGGGAGACAGTGGGGGATACTCTTGTACTTGAAAATTAGTCTTGGAGTGGGGAACCCCTGAGAAACAAGAGGGACAGCATAGTGTGGTGGAAAGATAGTGATCTCTAGAGCTGGCCAGACACAGCTCCAATTCTTCCTCCCTCACTCAGTACCACTGGCCTTGGCCAAGTTAGCGAGATGCTCAGAGCTCATGGTTCTCATCTTAAATCAAGATTGGAAAATGAGTTTCAGAATCCGTGCTTCCCAAGGAAACTGACAATGTGCCCACTGGTTTTAGATGACTGGGGTCCGAGAGCCAGCCTCTTCTGCCTTGTCACAGGGATTGAGCTAGCCTTGCTTTGTATTCTAAGAAACTGACCAGTAGACTACTTAGAGGGGAATATTTTCTGGGTCAAGAGGGTAATGACTCCCAAAGCCTCTCCTTTTCCATCTTATATGGTTAAGATAATCACACTGGCCCAACAGACAGACATTCTGAGGAATTTCCATTTCTAAATCATCACAAGAGCCAACAATTTCATCAGATGGGTTGCTGTCCTCTCAAAAATGATGTCCCCAATAAAAAGCCAGCTTCACCCAGATATTTCATGGGTTAGTGTCACTTAATTCCAGCATTACAGAACACACACACACACACACACACACACACCATGATGTCCCTCCCCATATTCTCCACCTGGACTCACCATCCACTCCTTCAGTGACTTCAAAAAAAGAAGGTTTGAGCCCCAGACTGCCCATGCATAGATCCATATGCCAATAGGAAAGTCACTTAACCTATGTGACTCTTGAATTCATCAGCTGTAAAATGGAGGCCAGTACTTCTTTCACACAAGAAATTAATATGAACATAACTTGGAGACTATAAAATATTACTGAAACTCCAGCTGTTTGTATGGTATTCAGAACTAAGAAAGTACCAAAAACCCATGGAGTGGGCCTTGAAAAGGGGTGAGGAAGAAACTAAAGAGAGCCTATAATTAGTAAGGTCAGGCTTAGACAGTGAGATTTCCAAAGGAAGATGTGTAGCTAAGACCACTGTAAAGTACAGAAGGAAAGGGAAAAGGAGGGAAGGGAGAAAACAGAGAAAAAAGAAATAGAAGGAAGAAGGATAGGAGGAAAGAGTGGAAAGAAGGGAGAGCGAGGGAAGGAAGGCACTAGATTGGAGGGAAGGCAGTAGATTGGAGGGAAGAGGTCTGGCTCCACAGGAGGCCTTTGCCTTGTCTTAGCTGAGCAAGTCCCTTCTCCTCTGGTCTCTATGATACGGGTGATGCACGAGGAATAGCACCTGTGGCCCAAGATGGCAGATAAGATGCCCTGAGACGGTGCCTTGGGAAATGCCTTATACACAGGGAAATTCTAAACAAGTACTGGGCTATTATTTTGGGAAGACAACCAGAACCTCAACACTCGGGTTTTAAAAGCAAGACAAATCATGAAAAACATGTTACAGAACAAGATAATAAGGCCCAGGGAAGACAGCCTCACTCACCTTCGCTCCAGCCGCTGCACCCAGTATCAGCCTTCATTCCAACATCTGGGCTCTACACTCTGAGGTCTCAGCTGCCCCTCAACTCCCAGCTCCCCACCCCACATGCACACTGCCTCATGACCCCATTTGGAGCACCCTGGGAGGGCTCACATGCCAACAGGAAATTACCTCCCCACAGACACCCACCTGTCCGCATCCGGAAGCTTAGTCATCAGGCACCACACAGAAAAAAGAGGCAGCGGGCAGCCCCCTTGCTCTTCTGGTTAATTAAACATCAAAGCTGACATTTAAATGCTCACCAAGACACTGCTCGAGGGGCTGCATCACAAGGGTCAGGAAGCAGAGGACTTCAGGGGGGTGCCGAATACTAGGCACTGGTTCTTACAGTGAGGTCCCCAGACCAGTCAGTCACCCCAGTATCACAAGGGCCCTTGTTAAAAATGCAGATTCCAGACCTGCCGAATCAGATACTGGGGGTGGGCCGGGAAATCTGTGGCCTCCCCAACCCTCCAGGTCATTCTGAAGTCTCTCAAGTCTGGCAAACACTGCTTGGGGCTGATAAATGCAGGTTGTGGGACAAAAAACAGGTGCCGTGGAGTTAACACCAACTCATGCCCCCTGCCACTGTGTGTCAGTGTGGGGCTGTGCCCCACAGGGTTTTCATTGGCTGATTTTTCAAAAGTAGGTCTCCAGGTCTGTCTGCCAAGCACCTCTGGTTGTACTCCAACCTCCAACCTTTCAGTTAGCAGCCAAGTGGCTCTGTGGTCAAAAACAGAAAATCTCACTGCCATCAAGTTGCACTGTA